TGAATATTATAAATTTTAAAGAGGATAAGATTTATTAATAAACATGAAGATAAAATATTAATTGGCTTTAAAGAAGAATTTTAATTATTGTTAACATTTATAAGGTCATATCTATTCAAACAATATCTTGTAACATAAACAATAAATATTGAATACAAGAATTTCTTTCGTGCTGTTAGTATATTATTTAAAATATATTATTTAAAATTATGAAATATGGATATAACACAGAGAATAATTGTTAGATTCTTTTATACACACAGCAATGAGAAATAACATCGAATTGATGTTGAATTGATAATTTTGGTGTTAAATCAACACATTGGTTATTTCTCACTGAATAAGAGGTAATGGAAAACTGCTAATTATACACAATCATCAAGTGCAAAGGCAAATAAATGCTTTTTCTATAATAAGTTGTCACACCTGTTAAAAATTATATTGAAGACATTATTAAAAACATTTTTTAATGATAGATTCCAAACATTCACTTACTGATCATTACGATCACATTTTTTCAGCTGTAATAAAATATTTAAATATTTAAATTAAAAATTGTATGTATAACAAAAGTATAATAAAAGAATAAAGAATATATAAATTCTACACAATATAAGTATCTAAAGAAATAGTAGAAATGATATGATATAAATGACAGAATAGAATCGTTGCAACGATTACATTTCTCTTCATTAATAATAAATTCGAGAATGAAATAATAAATCCGAAGGCATACGTACTGATGGCTTTCCCATCTTTCCATTCAGTGAACTTCACATTAACTTCATCACGTTTAGCAGCCTCTACCCTCAAGTCGACTTTCAAGGCTTGCCTGACTAACCTAGCTGCAATTTGAGAGTATTGGATGTAACTGTAACAAGATAAAGGGATAGAAAATTCGTATATATTCTCCAAGTATATATTCTCCAATTTTTACAATATTTTGTTATCCACAAGCAACAATTAATATTGAACAAAAATAAAATTTTATATTGATTAACGATCAGATGACAATTCGATTACATAATGCGATTCTAATGTAAGATTATATCATATACTTGACATACATCAAGAAAACATGTAAAATACGGAGGATAGTAATAATTTCCTTACTTCAATCCTGCCTGTCTCCACGCTGACATTTTTTTCGATTAATTATATTCGGTAAAGGATGAAAATTTTAACAAACACACTGCAACCTACAACCTGCAACACACGACAGATTGCAGTGCCAACTGTAGCAAATACTTGTACTATTGTGAACTACAGTATAACCAGTAGGGACACTCCGTGTCGCAGCCACATGAGTATGCGCCATGTTAACGTTTGAAAAATCCAGGATGGAAAGAGGATATAATGCGATAGTTATCCATTGTTTTACTCTAAAAAACATAATTAAGGATGTCGTGTAAACGTAGTCAATGTAAAAATCTTATCTTTTTTCACAAAATTACATTTGATTATGTTTAATTAAGTTAACCTAACCTAACCTAGCATAAACTACTTACTTTTTGTTAAATTATAAAAACTTATCTTACGATATCTTTGGAATAACAAAAAAAAGTGCATTGTAAATTTTTACTGTATTGTTTAATACGTAACATAACTTTTCTTTTTTTTTATCCATTTTTTAGAAATATTTATGGCGCAGCTCTTAAATTGTCTTCTTTTGCCACGGATATCTACTCCATGGGATCTGTAATATGTACGTTCTTGTCATCTTGCATTTCATTGGATCGGCCCAAAACAAAAGCTGCACAGCCATACCTGCGCGAACATGCATTTTTTCGCTGAATGTCTCTACTGGTTATACTGTGTGGTTAGAACTATAATAAACAGAATTATTAATCCGTATTGTTATTTAACATACGAAAAAAAGATTAGATAGAAATAAAAATTTGGTCTTAAACAATTTCACTTGAATTATAATGATTATAATATAGATTAACTTTAATCTCGGTTTAATTTATTCTCTT